TTTAAAGAAGTTACATTAAATCGATTTTCTCTAAAAGTTACTAAACAAAATTACTCAAACGAGTTCAAAATCAACTTCTGAATCTCAAAACATAATGTTGTTAAGCAAGCAAGATTATTTAGTATCATTCTTCTGAGTTCTAACACGATTTTCTCCGTCACAGCATGTTGTCTCATCACTCTCTCAATCTACCTCTCTACATTTCTAAGTCCTCCACACTTCAATATAAATAAGCAAATCCGTTTGCCAGTTTACATCCCATATGGCTTGAAAAACGTAGAAGATCAATACAACATCGTCATGCCTCGATTACTGTCACATCACAAAAATCAACCCGAATGTCTTGCTTCATTCCTTCTTGAATTTGTGCATTGTCCGAATATCCTTCAAGCCTTCGACCATGATAAGGCATCGATCAAGGCAGAACCCGTGCCTTTGCCATTTTCTCGATAAGTGACCTTCACCTAGCTACATGAAAATCATGAAAAAAGAATAGGAAAAAAGGAGGAAATAAATGGTTGAATAATTTAAGAATGCACCCCACCCGCAACCCGCCCGACGCCACCTCCTAACAATTTCATTTACAACACCCTTCCATAATTCCAATTTTAACTCTTCCCATAAAGCCTTCTCCTCCTCCTCTCTTCTCAATCTCTTCCTTTTTCTTCCCCACCCCATTTCACCCCACAGGGGCCTATAGATACATCTATTTATACACACATAAATTATACTTCTTTTATCCATTGAATTGTTCAATCCATTTTACTTCAATCCAGATTCAGCAATAAGGTATCAATAATTTTTCGTGTCTGGGTGGAGAAGATTCGTAAAGCTTTAGCCATTAAGAATCTAACCCAATCTTTATCTGCAGGTAAATCTCCTCGAGCTCGAATTGCACAAAAAATCTCAAAAAAATTTCGGAATTCTTTCGTTTTGATTGATAATGGCATCATCGTCGATTGTGAATCCTGAAGCAAACTCAAATCCATCGCCGAAAAAGAGAAGAAAAATCGGGGTGGAAATTCAGACTCAAATTCATTCTGAGGAGATGAGATGGAAGACAGAGGCGGAGCAACAGATCTACTCATCGAAGCTTGTAAATGCCCTCTGCCACCTTCGCCGCCCTGTTTCCACCACAGCATCCGGCCGCGTTGTTCGCGAGGCTGCAGATCGTGTCCTTGCTAACTCTGCTAAAGGCCGGACTCGGTGGAGCAGGGCAATTCTTACCGGTCGACTCAGCCGGCGACTCTCTCAGGTCAACAGGAAACACAAAAGAGCGGCAAAACCGGTTACTGGAAATTCCCGAATGAAGAAACCCGCCGTTAAGAAAAAATTGCCGCCTTTCCAAAGGAAACTGCAGGTACTAGGACGGTTAGTTCCCGGTTGCCGTAATCTCTCAACGCCGAACCTTCTAGACGAAGTGACTGATTATATCCCAGCTTTAGAAATGCAAGTCAAAGCCATGGCATTTCTCACGGGCCTCCTGAATGGCGGCGGCGGGACGTTGGCCGATTCTTCTGATCGGCTCGGCCCGGACCAGTAATTTACTGCTTAGTATATTTGGAGGTGGTTAATTTAATTTAATTTTTTTCCCCTTTCTTTTCTTAATTATTAAAAAAAATTATGTCAATAATTTGAGAAATTATTACATTTCCGTTTTTCCATTGTGCACGTCTGCCAGCCTAGCTTATATCTTTTACTATTTTATATTTTCCTTTTATTATTTTTATTGCTTTTCTAAAATTATTTTTATATTTATTCTTTCTTTTGTTCTTAATTGGTTTCCATTGTTAATTTAACATTAATGGGTTTATTAGTTTGGCTTTTGATTAAATCATAAATGTTGTTGGATTATTTTTCATTGTTTATTGTGATTTGTGGACATTATTAGAGTCGACTTCAAACACACGATAATATCTGAAATGAAANAAAGTAGGCAAATTCCGACAAAAGAACAGGCTAATTGAGGCAGCAGCCGCCTGCCATGTGCTACATTTTAAGAAGGACCCACCCCACCACATATGCACATGTGATATGGTAGTAACAATTCAAACTTTTTTCTCTTTTAATAAATGAATTTGACTTTAGCTTTTCAATGTGATTCATTGGTTTTATAAATTAAGCCTCCACTCGACTGCCATACTTTCAAAACCTTTTTCTTTACATACCCATTTTCAATTCCTTATTCATTCAATAAAATATATTACATGTAAATTTAAAATTTTCTTCTACTTTTCAATCACATATTTTCTTAAAAATCACTATTCAAATTTATTTTTTCAAAAGTATAGTTGTCTAATAGGGCTAAGCTTTATGGTGTAGAATAATTGTAGCGCTAATAAATTAGATGGTCCAAAATATGCACCCTCATTCTCAAGAAAAATTCGAGGAGTTAATAGTATTGAGATTTGAGGTTTTATCTTAAAGATATTTAATCTTACTAAGATGAATAATACAAATTATTATATGTACTTTATTTATTTTGTCTATAATTGATGTAGGATATAACCTTCCCTTAAAATGATAACTCGCTTGAGCACATTAGTCTTATAAGAATTCGAATCTTCGTTTGGGATTTAGACGGGACCATATTGTTTGTTTGAGTTTAATCAATTCTAATTCGATTTTAAAATTTAGAGTTCCATCTTTTAAAATATTAACCTTGTTAACATGAGTAGCAGAAGTTATAAATGTTGTTTACTTGTTTCATTTTTAATCAATGTGAAATATTACCATTATTACATAATGAATTTAAATGTTTAAAATGTCCCTTTATTAAGAGTAGTAGTTCAAGCTCTTATACATTATATATCTATTTTATCTTTAATCAACCTATAAAATAAGCTTAACAAAACAATAGTGCAACCATTGATGAATTGTGAAATAATTTAGGTCTCCCAACACTTAGTTTAGCCTTTTTTTCCTCCAAATATTCTAAGATTGAAAATAAGAAAATGGAAAAACTATTATTAAAGTGAGAAAAAGAGGAGAGAATATGAGGCAATAGACTTTTTATGTATTATAATGAGAATCAAATCTCTATATTTATAAGAAAGGATTAGGGATACAATAGTAATAATTTTTAGAGTTGTAATGGTACAATTGTCATTCACTAATAAACATATCATTTACAATACTTTCCCTTAAATAACACATTACGATATATATGTCTCATTAAAAACCTTGTTTGATAAAAACTCAATAAGGAAAAAAATCAAATATTATTTTGGAGTATTAAAGATAAATGTTATCTCATTAAAATCTTACTAGGAAAATTCAGTGGAATAATACCTAAGCGAAGGAAAAAGAATACAACTACTTCCCCTGATGTTGATCACTAAAAATCTTTGAGTCGACGCATTCCAATTCTGCAAACCAATTTCTTGAATGTAGATGTTGACAGTACTTTTGTAAATAAATCAGTCACATTGTCATTTGAGTGAATTTATTTAACATCGATGTTGCCATTATTCTGAAACTTATGTGTATGAGAGAATTTTAGATAAATGTGTTTCATCTTGTCACATTTGATATAGTCACCTTTGAGTTATGCAATACAAGCAGCATTGACTTCATACAAATTTTTTGGACTATATTTTGTTAAAGTTAACCGACATGATGCTTGAATATGATAGGTTATGTTCCTCAACCATATACATTCTCATCCTCCTTCATGGATTGCAATAAGTTGAAAATGATTTAAGAATGTTGCTGTCAATAATTGCTTTATAGATCTCTATGATAGAGCATGTTTCCACATGTAAACATATATCCTATTTGTAATTTAGCTTTATGTGAATCAAGGAGATAACCTACATCTGCATATCCTACTAAAGCAGATATTGACTTTTGAAAGTAAAATAATATCAAATCAATAGTATCTTTCAAATAATGAAAAATGTGTTTAACGCCATTCTCTTGTCTTTAAGTTATAGTAGAGTTATATTTAACAAGGAGATTTACAGAAAAACTATGTCAGATCGAGAGCAGTTTACAAGATAAGTTAATGCTCCAATTACACTAAGATATAACATTTCAGAATCAAGAATATTTTCTCCATCCTCAAATAGACGAAATGGATCTTTTTCACTTCAAGTGATCGAATAATCACAAGCGCTATCAATGAATGATTCATATAAAAGTGTTTCGAGACTTTTTCTGTATATGTAGATTGATGAACAAATAATCTTTTTGGAAAATGTTCAATCTGCAACCCAAGATAGAATTTGATTTTTTTTTTCCAAATCTTTCATCTCAAATTTATTTTTCAAATAATCTATAGTTTTGTTAAACTCTTTAGAAGCTTCAATTAAATTTAAATCATCAACATAAATTATCACAATTGTAAATTCAATATTTATTTTTGAATGAAAACACATGGGCAGACATATCATTTTTATAACCCTCTTTCAACAAATATGCTAAGCCGACATACTTCATGCTTTTTGACTGTTTCAATTCATATAATGATTTTTGTAATTTAATTGAGAGCATGGCTTTCGGGCATGCAACGTTTGCCCCTGACACTTTAGGTCCTTCAGGGACTTTCATATTATCATATATATGTCACTATCAAATGAACCATGCAAATCGATAGTTACTATATCCACAAGGCCCATATCGAGCTTTTGTAATACAGTCAAACTAATTAAAAATCTAAAATTGATTGTGTCCATTATAGGAGAATATGTTTCCTCATAAACAATTCCCGATCTTTGTGAGAAGCCATGGTTTTCGGGCATACATCTTCTGCTCCGAATACTTTAGGTCATTCAAGGACTTTCATATTATCATATATATGCCAATATCAAATGAATCATACAAATAAACGATTACTATATCCACAAGGCCCGCATCAAGCCTTTGTAACACAGTCAAACTAATTAAAAATCTAAAAGTGATTGTGTTCATCACGGGAGAATATATTTCCTCATAATCAATTCTCGATCTTTGTGAGAAACATTGAGCTATAAGTTGGGTTTTGTATCTTGTAATTTCATTATTTTCATTTTTCTTTTGTACAAAAATTTATTTATTTTCATTTTTCTTTAGTACAAAAATTTATTTGTATACAACATGGACTACATTTTCAGGTGTTCGAATTATAGGTCCAAACACTTTTTGTTTCTCTAAGGTCCGCCTGTATGGCTTCTTTCTATTTTAGCCAATTATTTCTATGTTGATAGTCTTTAACAAACTGTAGTTTAGGATCTTCATTTTGCATAATATCAAGAGTCGCGTTAAAGGTGAAAATATTATCCATAACAATATTCGTTCACATAATTTAAGAGATAACATATAATTTATTGAAATCTCATTATTTTTGAACTCTTGTGATTGTTCAAGAACCTTATTTTCAATATTTGATTGATCAATCTTTTCTAGTGTTATTTTTTCTGAAGTTGTTGATTTCTTTTTCTCCTGTACCTTTCTTTGTCGAAATACAGAGTCCTTTGAACCAATTAGTCGACCATGCTTCCGGCTTATTTGAGATTTGTTTGCTACACCAGATTGTCTTTCAAGGACATTAATTTTTGCTGGGATTTGTCACCTTTTTCGTATTAACAAATACATGAGGTAATTGATTGCAGCCATTTGTAAATAAACGATTTTTTCAATCTCTTGTTCACATTGATTGTTGTAGGGATCAAAGTGAGATAGAGTCTTTTCATTCCAATAAATTTTATCTTATTTTTCAAGATGTAATTTTTCTCCATCAAAGTTGGAAAAGTCATTTCATCAAATGACAATCTGTAAAACGTGCAGTAAATAAATCACACCTTAAAGATTTAATATACCTTATAATAGATAGTGAATTAAAATCAACATAAATTTCAAATTTTCGTTGTGAACCCATTTTATTACGTTGTGGGAATGAAATAGAGACTTGGACAGCACATCCAAAAACCCATAGGTAAGAGATATTAGGTTCATTATCAAATGTCAGTTGGCAAACGTAAATAATGATAATAAGCAGTTGGTTTTATATGAACAAATGAAACAACATATAATATGTCATGACCTCAAATAGAAGTTGAAAGTTTTGTTTTCATAAGTAATGGTCTAGTGATAAGTTGTAGACGTTTAATAAATGATTCTGCTAAATCGTTTTGTGCATGGACATGTACAACTGAATGTTTAATAATAATTTCAATTGACATACATTAATCATCGAATGTTTGTGATTTAAATTTACCAGCATTGTCAAGATAAATTCTCTCAATTGAGTTATTGGGAAATTGAGTTTATAATTTTGTGATTTGAGCAAGTAGTTTAGCAAAAGTTAAATTCCTGACGAAAAGTAGGCAAACATGTAATCATCTAGTACAAGAATCAATTAATACCATAAAATAAAGAAATGGTCAACATGGGGGTGTATTGGCATATATATATATTTGAATTCTTTCTAAGAAAATTGGAGATTCAATATTGACCTTTGTAATCAAAGGTTTAATGATTAATTTACCTTGCGAACAAGTTACACGTGGATAATCGTTAGGTAAAAGAATCCTCTGGTGCTTTAAAGGATATCCATGTGAGTTATTTATTATTTGACGTATTATTACAGTTCTTGCATGTTCAAGTCGATCGTGTCAAAGTATAAACTTTTTAGGTCAACAAACTTCTGGCTTATGACAATATTTGATTCAACTATTTTTATAAACATATAA